TGTTTCTTGTAGCTCTAGTAGTGAACCATCGGTATATACTTCAAATTTTTTGTACTTTATAATGCTCTCTGCAATTGCTGTTAGCTCTGCTACTGCTTCTACTCTATCTATACAGCTTCTTGTTATTTTTATACCCTATATTATTAATAAATTATTATTATTATTTTTTAAACTAGTTTCTTTAGAGCTAAAGTTTTTATTTAAGTTATTAGATAAAGAGGCACACAATAGAACCTCTTATTATATTAAAGAATACATCTAGTTATATATATACTTTTGGTGTTTAATTTAAGTAGTCTGCCTACTATTATAGATTTATACTATATGCTATACCTGTAATCTAACTATGAGTATTACCTATTTAAACTCTCTGTAATGCAACCTACTTGTATTACCAATATATTTTTGTTATATTTGTTAGTTGAGAAATTCTGAATGCTTTTCCTATTCTTTTAAGACTAATTTATTCTTGAGACATTGTTGCTAGAGCTTTCTATATCCATAATCTAGCTAATCTAGACTAAGGATGTTACGGTCCTGCAAGACCGTGGTCTGGACCGGTCTTTTGAACCGGTCTAGCCAGTTCTCGGTCCTAAATTGAGAACTGGGTCCAGACCAGTCCTTAGCTTATAAAATGATCTCATTGGCTAAAAAGAGAAAAAAAATTTTCGATACCAAATTTATAAGTTTCTGATATCGTCTAATTCAGTAACTTATTGATTTTTCTCAGTAACTTGTCGATTGGATCATTGGCAATTTTTTCAATTGTCTCAGGATCCACGATGATAGCTGTAAATCAAAAATCTGAAATAAGATACCAAATTTTAGATAATTTTTAAATATAAAAATAAAAACAAAAATTTATATGTCAAATAATGTTACAACCAATATTGATATAAAATTTGTACTTTTCAAATATATACATATAACTTAGAAGTGCCAACATGATTAATTTGTCTTTTTATATGTAGTGATCATTAAAAACCATATAGCCTACTTTGAAAACCAGCCAATAGACCAGGTTATGGACCTGGTTATAGACCGGTTATGGACCACGGTCTAGTCTCCGGTCCTCTGCTAGGATTGGTCTTTGGGACTAAGACTGGACCGGGACGGACCGTAACATCCCTAATCTAGACTTCAGTAATTTACACTGAGTTTGAGAACAAGTACTTGTGAGTTGAAGCCACTACTGTTATCTACTTCTGATCTTGTAAAGTTTATTCAAACCTCAGCATCTACTTTACAACTATTTATTATATCTCCAGTTTTCTCAAACTTCTAATTCAGATAGCCTGTAAGGATGATCTCTTTTTTAGTTATCTGTAGCCTAGTTGATGTAGTGTTTTTGCTAAACACTTTGGTTTTATTCAGTTTTTTGGTTCTCTAGATGATGATCTTTTATATGGCATTATTAAAAGTCTGTACTATTTTTTTACTTAGATCTTGCCAAGCAGGCTTCTGTATACTTCAAACATCTAGATTTACTCAGCTGCTTTACTTAAATTTTGTATAACTTATACATCACACTAATGCTTTACAGCCTCCTAGTACAAGCTAGTTGTTAAAGATAATTACAGTTATACAGAATCTTCATTCTTTTGACCTTCAAATTCTACTCACTTAGTAATACACACAGAATAGGGTTAACATTCCAGGTACTCCCACCTATATTTAATATCTAAATAATTGCAAGGACAACTACTTAATATATTATTTATTTAGTAAACTTATTTTTTTTTATTAGTAGAGATTATTATATTTAAATACAAGATTATTACCAAATAAATCATTATCTGAGTTATATGCATTAGACTATTTACAAATTAGACTTTTAATTAATTTAATACAAATTCAAATTATACTACTTATATAAATTTTGATCCTGATTATATTTGTATACAACAAATTTCTAGGGTACTAAAATATACTGTGACAAAGTTAAACTCCAGGATCTTTATTCTGAAGTTGCAATTCTAACAAATTCATTAGCATAAACAAAGAATAACTATTTAATACAGATATATTCTATTAATACTATCTAAGCAATATCTAAATACCAATACAATTGTCTTTTTTATGAATTTTACATGTTTTTTTAATTTAATAACACAATTTTTTTACAAACTAAAACCAATGCATAATCTACCAAACTACTATAATATAATTTTTTTTTACAACAAATACCTTATCAAATAATTAAATTCAGTACCCTACAATACTCTAACATCTAATTTTTTAAGGCTACATATTTTCAAATGACTCTCAAAAACAATGCTCTTCAGATATTTATAATTGCAGCAGCTAACTAATCCAAATTTAATAAAATTAACTTCTTTACATCATGGCTAGAACTTTGCTGACACATTGATTTCAGACCCTTTTTCTTTCATAAAATGTGGTATTCTATTTGCTTCTATTTACACCTTCTTTAAAGTCATTATTATTAAGCTTTGGAATATTCAACTCTTCAGTCTTCATATTTTCATGTTGATTACCTTTTCTAGCATCATTTACTATAATTCTTTGATAGCTTAAATATTTATCCTTGCAAAATCTTTCATATAGTTTTTTGACTTTAACATTTTATTTAGCATTCACTTCTGATTTAAATGATCAAAAAAAGCACCCTCAATCTAAAGCTTTTATTACTTTTGTCACTAATTCCAGTTTTATTTTTATGATAATTTTTAGGATCATTCACT